TGTTAAACAAACCACATTTTCTCATTTATTTCCCCAATAACTTTTAGTCCAACACATTTTGGAAAGAAAAATGAAGGAAACATTTGCTACACCCCATTTCCTATCACTCTTCTGCTTTAAACAAACACTTCTTTAGCTAGAATGTTCTCTGTTCATGCCCGCAGAACCCAGGCTTCATTGAAGGAGCAGTCGCTGATTGGCTGCTGCAGTGTGAGGAAGCGAGGGAAATCAGATCAGTGCTGTACTCCTCCCGGACCAGCAGCAACTCATCTGTTTCCTTCTCTCTTTATTTCTCCGTATTTTGGGCCAAAGAATCGGGGCATCTTCTTCCTGGTGCATCTTCAGTTGTACAGAGAAACTTGAGTAACATGCTGTTAGCTTAATATTTAAAAATTTTTTCTGTCATTTTTATAAGGCAAAAATTATTACAAGCTTTAGTATCTTTCTCTTCATCTTTCTTTCTTTTTAAAATAATGTCTCTTAAAAAAATAGTAAAAAAAACCCAACGTGTTACTTTCCCCAGGGAAGCTCTCCTTGACTGTTAATACAGGTTAGATTCCAGTTACATGCCCTCATAGCCCCTTGTATGTCAGCTTTCAGCATTTAACTACAATTACAATGAATTATTCAATCATGTAACTCACTGATGTCTCTTATCCACTATGATGGCAAGGACAATATATGTCTAATTTATTGCTTTACCCCCAGCCTCGTACAGTGCCATGCACCTGGAAAGTATTCAGTAAATATTTCTTTAATGAAAAAAGTAAAATAAAATAATATCTCTTCACTTCAAAGCACCAAAAATTGTAGTTAAAAACAGAAACAAAAACAAAAAACAGGAAAGTAATAGGAAAATCTAGGTTCTCCTTAAACAGTGATGTCATTCTGGTTTAGTCAGTGCTATTTGGTCAATGGGAGTCTCGGAAATTAATTAAGGTTCCTGAGGTTCTTCAGACACTTAGCCCACATATCATGGTTTCCCTTACTTGAAATGTTGCTGTATAGCCATAAGAAGGAAAATTCATGGAATTCCAATTAAACAATAAAGCTGAATGAAAGTTTTTTTAAAAAGTCACTGGACAGTAGGCTCTGCTTAAGGCTTATCATCTGAAAGAGGAAGACACTTATTTTAAAATATTTGGTTTATTAAAATACCATGACTTGATAGGTAGATTAGGACTTTTCCTTTGGACTCAGCATCATGTTGTTAAATTGCAGAGAAAATGACAGAGAAGGAGCAGCACTTTGGTAGAGATGACTTTAAGGAGACTTGAGGGAAAAAATATGGCTTTCCCCCCACAGTCTCTCTCTCTCTTTTCCCCCCACCTCACCTAACCATGAACCTAACGTACTTTTTTTTTTTTTAAATTTTTTTTTTACACAGAGTCTTGCTCTGTTGCCCAGGCTGGAGTGCAGTGGCACAATCTTGGCTCACCACAACCTCCGCCTCCCGGGTTCAAGTGATTCTCCTGCCTCAGCCACCCGAGTAGCTGGGATTACAGGTGTGCACCACCACACCCTGCTAATTTTTGTTTTTTGGTAGAGATGGGGTTTCACTATGTTGGCCAGGCTGGTCTCAAACTCCTGGCCTCGTGATACGCCCATCTCAGCCTCCCAAAGTGCTGGGATTACAGGCTTGAGCCACCACACCCGGCCCTAAAATTATTTGGCTTCTGAATTTCTGACTTACCTCCTTCTTTGGACCACCCTCAGAAAAAACTATAACATAGATATTGTTTTATGATTTGTTTTCTTATGATGAACAGTTAGTACCTTTACGTTCTCCCAATCCACCAACCAGTGTTTTTTGTTTTTGTTTTTTGCTTTTTCGGGCCAGGATTTTCCTCTGTCATGCAGGCTGGAATGCAGTGGCATGATCACGGCTCACTGCAGCCTGAATCTCCCAGGCTCAAGAGATCCTCCCACTTCAGCCTCCCAAGTAGCTGGGACCACAGGTGCACGCCACCACACCTGGCTAATTTTTGTATTTTTTGCAGAGATGGGGTTTCGCTATGTTGCCCAGGCTGTTCTTGAACTTATGGGCTCAAGCAATTCTCCTGCCTCAGCCTCCCAAAGTGCTGGGATTATAGATGTGAGCCACCGTGTCTGGCCTCAACAAGTTTTCCTAAGAAACCTACCAGGGTGTGCTATGGGACACCAAGAGAGGACACACAGGACAGAGCTATTCTTTGGAAAGGGAAGTGAGTACCCCTTTCACTTCTCTGCTATGAACCCAGGGGGTCAGTTTGGGAGGCAGAAGACCTGGAGTGAGCTTTGGGTACGGCGCACAGAATAGAACTTAGAAATCTAAGAGGCAGCATCTAGGGAAAAACCGAAACCAGATCTGGGCAAACTACACAAACCAGTCATGGTGCCAAAGGGATTATATGCTGAGAGAGAGGATCAAGGTATGAGGCAGCAGAGTGATGGGAGCCTGGGGAAGTCAGAGGGAAACTGCAGGGTTCAAAACAGACAGTGGCAGGCGGGGCCCAGGCTAAACCTGAGCTTGGGTGCTCTTAATATGCTACCTACGATGGTGATGGTGTCTGGACGGTGTCTCCTTGGCTCATCCTACCCATCCTATCTGTGCTGGTCATTAAGTCATGCACTCTCAGCTCCAAGCCCATCCTTCTATAATAGGCTCTGTGATGCTGGGTGGAGCCCTGCTGACAATTCTCCTCTGTCAGTTGTTTCCCTGGTAGGCCCAGCCCATAGCAGGTGCTAGAGGGAAACTGCTAGGTAAGAGGAGGTAGAACAAGCTGATCCCTCCTGTTCCTATCAGCCTCACCCCAACAACAGCCCTGTCCTGGCAGTGATCGTTGATTGCAATACTTTTCCTACATTCCTCTGAGGCACGCTGTGTTCCTTCCATGGAAAGTTGGGTCCCAGTTCTCCTCTTTCAAGCTTCTGTGTTCTAATAACATCAACCTCTTCCCTTTGCTCCCCTAGCCTAGGATGGTAGCTGCTTCCTGCCATTACTAGTTCTGTGCTATTTCAGTGCCCTCTCTTTGCATTTCTAGTCTTCCAATGCCCTTTAAATCAATTCCTTATATTAAACTCTCTCTGTTAATGTAAGTGTGGTTTCCTTGTGTTTCCTTGACTGGATCTTGCCTGACTGAAGGGTCAATCCTGTTGAAGGTGGGGAACCCACCCACTTCTTTTTCTACATGCACTGAGTACTTACTCTGGAATTTTGCTGAGGGGACTTATTTAATCCTAATAGTCTGGTGATGTTGCTGTTTTCCCCATTTAATTCTGGTAGCTGAGACGCAAAGAAGTCATGTCATTTCCCCAGAGTCACACAGTGCATGCTGTTAAACATGCTAATAGAACTCGATTCAGACCCAGACTTGCCTGACCCCCAAGCCCTTCTCTTGTATTCCAACTTGCTGCCTGCTGTTCCTGCTGGTGTCCCAACTTCCCTTTGCACTGTCCCATCATCTCCATCTCTTTCCTCTGAGTGGGGTGTGCGGAGGTGGTTGAGTCCTGGGGCAGAGGAACAGAAGGGCCCTGAGTGCCCATGAAAGATGGGAGGAGGGGAGGATGTTGAGGCTACAGAGGCCACTGAGTTGAAAGGATCCATGAATATAATACTTTGCCTGGAGTGAGAATGGCACCGCCAGTAGTGAAAATAGCCAGGCCAGGGAGGGAAGCATTGGGTGGAAATTCTGTAAGCGAAAGCCAAGACGGGGTGAACTTGGCAAGCAACAGCTTCTGCCTTGAAACTGCTGCCTTTTCCCTAAATAGGTTCAGCTATTCTGAGAAAGATTAAGCTACAAGGAAAATGAGTTCTCTTTAGCATTATCCTTATACAGAAATATATCCTTATACAGAAAAGACAGAAAAGATGGAAGTATTCACTGCTGTTTTCTCACTTTCTTCAAAACACTTGTGGACTCTGTATATTAACTTCTCTGCTATACTCGCATTTGCAAATCTTAACAATACATGGAATGCTGGACAATTTAAGGCATAATGTCATCTGGCAACACAACAACTTTGTGGGATTGTTTACTTGGCTGATATTCTGGCTCTTACAATGATGTTTTGATGTTTCCCTTTTCACTTCTAGGAGGCAAAGAGTAATGCACCTTTTGCAAACAAGTAAACTTTGTGTCACCGCAGCTACAATAATTTTCCTTATATTATCTGTGACAATTTTATTTCAACATTTTATCTTGCATTTTATACATCTTTGTGAATCTCCTTGAAATCTTTTGGGAAAAAATTCTGAGGACATTTCTACCTCCATCTATACGTTCATCTATAACTTTTTCTCTACCTCCACTTATACTTCATTTCTACTGCCATTTATTTCCTCCGTGCCTCCATTTCTGCACTGATCTGCTCAGACAGCTGTGAGGGAGAAATGGACAGTCCAATTCTCTCTTTGTAGTCTTCCAGTTGTGTGTTTTTAACCCAAATTTGAATATGAAAGCCTAATTATGAAGTTTTTGACCTAAAGATGGTTCACATCTGGTCTTAGAAACCTCCTCTGTGTTTCTACAAGAAAGCCAGTCGTTGACAGACATACTAATGGGCCTGTGATATAGAACTCAAACCTTAAAAAGTTCTAACCCATCAAGAAGTCCCATTCATCATTTCATTTTCTGGAAAGGATATAAAAAATGAAATGTCAGAGCTATAATGTCAGGACCATTTAAAATGTCAAGTGCTTGTTGTTGCATAGCCTGGCTGTCTGCTGTTCTGATCAAACCTCCAACTGGCATAATAATTACAGAGGATACATCGCATTTTCATGCACAACTGGATGCAAATTTATAACGAATCATATGAAAACATTCTCACTGCCCCGGCTGAAGTTTTCTCCTCTTACTACATAGCTTAAGATTTTTTCTTTTGAAGCAGAGCATCATTACTAATGCAAGACAGCATTCACCAATGAGAAATAGGTGCAGAAAAAAAAGTTTCTCAAATAAACCAGAACTCAGTCATTTATAATATACAGATGCAACAAGAGCAAAGAGGCAGCAAACACATTTACCACATGCACGTTTAATCTGAGAATGCTAAACTGTGGAAACACTTTCCAACTGATAATCCAGTTCTACTTCAAGGTGTAGATTAAGTGCACAAGGAAACACATATGAGAGTTCTATTTTGAATGGATAGGTATGGAGACAATCCTTCAGTGTAATTATTATGTTTTAATCCGCAGAGAGAGCACAGAAAAGCAACAATGCATCTGTTTAGGATCTTTATGGAAGTCTCTACTGGATTAAAATAAGTGCTATATTCACAAGCCTATATGAATTATAACAAAGACCTGAAATCAACAGCATGTACATGGGGAAGATTCTATTTCTTCTCTATTGAAATGTTGTGCTCATTGATAGCTGGGAAAGGTATTCTCACAGAGACTTCATTTTCACCTTCCCTAGGCCAGCCTTGTCAGGAGATTTGGAGGAGTCTATCTCCATGTCTGGCTGCTTCCCGTTACAGATTACTCTTAGCACGTTGGAGAGGTCGAAGCTCTTGTAAACAATCTCCAGGAGATCCTGATCTTTTGCTATGCCATTGATAAATTCTTCTAAAGTCAATTCTCCTGGAAAATAACCAAAAAAAAAAAAAAAAAAACAGTTAAGAAGAGGCTTTGTCTATACCACTCACTGGCACAAATGATATACTCACTGGTATGTTTATTGATATTCTTTTGATATCCTTTCCCCTCAACCAGACTCTAAGATCTTTGAAGATCTTCATTTAAAAAAAAAAAAAAGCATTCAGTGGTGGGGTTGCCAATGAAAATAAAGATAATAAACCTATTTTTATGTTTAGTTGAAAACATCAGGTAATGCCCCAGATGAAATAAGAGCACATATACAATTATATCTCTGCACAGTATTGGTTTTTGGACTTTTAATCTCGAAGATATGACCAAGTCTTAGGAGCATGATAGATTGGAGATTTTTAAGATCAAGACAAAATGACTACTCACAAGGCTATTTTCAATATTCTTCTCTCTGAAGAAATAATTCTTGGGACTGTCCAAAGCTGTGAGAAAGCTTCAACATGTGTTCATTCCACAAGTTATTATTGGTCATTATTTCTCTTCTCTTTTTCTGGTTTTTGGGTCCCAATCTTATCATCTTGAGTTATGTCTTAAGTCTGTGCTGGCCAGCCCAGTACTATAAATTTATTGCCTTATATCCATGTGTCCTGGCTGCCATGTTTTTCTACTACCTTCATCCCACAAGATGACTTTTAAACACTTTTTAGGGAGGTGGAATTCTCTGTTGATATGAATCATTTGGGTTGGGATTATGAGTGTGTTCAAGTTGAAGGGTACAGATGCAGTTACTGATCTCAAAGAGACTGTACCCAGGGGAGGTTTGTGGATGGGTAGATCAGCCAAAGACAGGTCAAGTGCATTCAAGAACTGGAGAAAGTGCATTCAAGGAAGGAAGTCAGCAGGGACTGAGTCAGGTGTTATGCTGTACCTATACTTTTTAATGGAGAAGACAAATATCTAAAATACCACAACATTGATTCAAATGTCAAAAAGCATGAATCATCATATATTCATAAAACACCTCCCTTTTGGTTTCAAAGCAAAATGCTAAAATGCATTTTTTAAGAGAAAAATCTAATCTGTGTTCCTTATGTTATGCTTATGCCAAAGAAAGGTCTGTGAAAACCTCAGTTAACAGCAGTCAGGAGTAGGGCCCCATGTGTGTCACAGAAAAAGTCCAATCGTGGAAGAAACCATAGGGAGTAGAGAAGCTTGCAAATTTTAAAAAGTGGTACATGCGTGGCTGGAGAGAGTCCCATGGGTCAGTGGCAACGGGGCAGGGAACCTCAAACAATCACAGAATAACTGCCCTTTGCAAAAGAAAATCACAGCTGGTAAATTCCCAACCCCAAAGACTTTTCAAATTTATCGGGGCTCAGCATGACCAAGAGAGAAGTAGAAGTGGAGCTGGAGACAGTTTTGACTGTTTAGTTATAAAACTTCTCTGCTCTAACTACTGGCTACAGAAGAGGCAGCATCTGAAAGAACCGGGATATAGTAGTGGTCTCAGCTGAAAAGCAATGCAGGTTACTGACATAGATAAGAGAGAAAAGATGGAAATATTCACTGCTGTTTTTCCACTTTCTTCAAAACACTTGTGAACTCTGTATATTAACTTTTTCATGTTACCTAATCACTTACCATAAAAAAAAATCTCTGTTGCAAATCATCATCAAACTCTACCTTTAGTAACATGTTTACTATATCTAAACTACTTCTTTTGAAATTGTCTTCACTGTTTCCCTCTAGCAGTCAACATTCATTCATTTATTCATCACATTTATTAAGCCCTAACCACAATTACCATTTCTATTACCACACAGCTACCACCACTATAGCCGACTACAGTGCTATGAATATGGTAGGAGCTCAGAAGGCACACACTGACTAATTGCCTTCCTTTATCTCATGTTCTTTAACATTGCTTCCTATTCTGCTTTAATGTGACTGTGGATTTAGGCCCCAACAAATTAAAAGAATGCTTTCTGTATTTCCCTGGAAAGAGTCACCTGTGGAGGTCCAGAAGCTTCCCACTAAAGAATCTACCAGCAAGGCCGGGCACGGTGGCTCACGCCTATAATCCCAGCACTTTGGGAGGCCAAGGCGGGCGGATCACAAGGTCAGGAGTTCCAGACCAGTCGGGCCAACATATGGAACCCCATCTCTATTAAAGATAAAAAAATTAGCCGAGCGTGGTGGTGGGCGCCTGTAGTTCCAGCTACTCGGGAGGCAAAGGTTGCAGTGAGCCAACATCAGGCCATTGCACTCCAGCCTGGGCGACAGAGTGAGACTCCATCTCAAAAAAAAAAAAAGATAAAGATTCTACCAGCAAAAAGCCAATGCCTGTAAGAGATGATAGTGCAGGGAGATCATGGGACTTAGAAGGAATCTAAAGTCATCACTAAGTTTTTATTACTTTGTTTTATATATACAGACACATTTCAATTTTGAGTCTCCCCCTGTTGCCCAGGCTGGAGTGCAGTGGCGCGATCTCAGCTCACTGCAAGCTCCGCCTCCCAGGTTCACACCATTCTCCTGCCTCAGCCTCCCCAGTAGCTGGGACTACAGGCGCCACCACCACGCCCCGCTAATTTTTTGTATTTTTAGTAGAGACGGGGTTTCACCGTGTTACCCAGGATGGTCTCGATCTCCTGACCTCATGATCTGCCTGCCTTGCCCTCCCAAAGTGCTGGGATTAAAGGCATGAGCCACCACGCCCACCCAACATATTTCAATTTTTGTAGGACATTATTTGGAAACCTCATGATTTTATTTTTATAAGTTGAAATATATGTACTTGGAATCTACGTTGTTTACTGCTGTTTGTTGTATTAGTGGGTGTGCTCTGTATGTCTGGGGACCCTGAAGGTCAGTATCACTGGTGCTCTTTCATCACTCACTACCAGTTTCAGGAGTTTCATTTGTAATAGAATAGCTACCCAGGAATATTTTACTTAGTCTTGTTTTTGCAATCCAGTTATCCTACTGATATTCCTAAATCATGCATTTCTTCCCATTTACATCTTAATCTTTTATAAAGAAAAATTCTCCTTCACCCCCCAAACCCCCACCAAAAAAAAAGCAGAATTTACTGCGCATGCCTACATTAGTATTTCTGGTCTAAACTGGATCCTTTCCCTACATCTTATACAAAAATTAGTTCAAGATGGATTAAAGACTTAAATGTTAGACCTAAACCATAAAAACCCTAGAAGAAAACCTAGCCAATACCATTCAGGACATAGGCATGGGCAAGGACTTCATGACTAAAACACCAAAAGCAATGGCAACAAAAGCCAAAATTGACAAATGGGATCTAATTAAACTAAAGAGCTTCTGCACAGCAAAAGAAACTACCATCAGAGTGAACAGGCAAGAATGAGAGAAAATTTTTACAATCTACCCATCTGACAAAGGGCTAATATCCAGAATCTACAAAGAACTCAAACAAATTAACAAGAAATAATCAAACAACCCCAACAAAAAGTGGGCAAAGGATATGAACAGACACTTCTCAAAAGAAGACATTTATGCAGCCAACAGACACATGAAAAAATGCTCAGCATCACTGGCCATCAGAGAAATGCAAATCAAAACTACAATGAGATACCATCTCACACCAGTTAGAATGGCGATCATTAAAAATCAGGAAACAACAGGTGCTGGAGAGGATGTGGAGAAATAGGAACACTTTTACACTGTTGGTGGGACTGTAAACTAGTTCAACCATTGTGGAAGACAGTGTGGCAATTCCTCAAGGGATCTAGAACCAGAAATACCATTTGACCCAGATATCCCATTCCTGGGTATATACCCAAAGGATTATAAATCATGCTGCTATAAAGACACATGCACATGTATGTTTATTGAGGCATTATTCACAATAGCAAAGACTTGGAACCAAACCAAATGTCCATCAATGATAGACCGGATTAAGAAAATGTGGCACATATACATAATGGAATACTATGCAGCCATAAAAAAGAATGAGTTCATGTACTTTGCAGGGACATGGATGAAGCTGGAAACCGTCATTCTGAGCAAGGACAGAACACCAAACACCGCATGTTCTCACCTATAGGTGGGAATTGAACGATGAGAATACTTGGACACAGTGCGGGTAACATCAGGCATCAGGGCCTGTCATGGGATGGGGGAAGGGGGGAGCGATAGCATTAGGAGATATACCTAATGGAAATGACGAGTTAACCGGTGTAGCACACCAACATGGCACATGTATACATGTGTAACAAACCTGCACGTTGTGCACATGTACCCTAGAACTTAAAGTATAATTAAAAAAAAGAAGAAGAAGAAGAAGAAGTCATCCTGATTTTAAAAGAAATCAGCCTGTGTAGAGGATTTTTTAAAATTTTAATTTCTTTTCATTATAACTTCATAAAACATTGAGCTGGGGCTGGAACCTTAGCAAAGATAGGGTGGGGAAGATTTGGGAGATGAGAATAACCAAATTTTCAAGGGAGGATGCTGGTGAAGATTTTGAATGACACAATATTGTGTTTATTAGCACGGTGGCACTAGAAGCATTTAGCGCCATTTTACAGGAGAGCTTTTGCATGCAGTAGTTTCTTTTCCTTTACGTGGAAACTCAGTTCCCTCTTATCTCCTGGTAATTCTCAGTTTCCCAGTTTGATTCAATGTGACCCTCATGGCTTTTCACAAAGTTCTAGTCTAAAGCACTGGTCTTTCTTTTTAGTTAATCAATAAAATTTCTTTATGTCCTGCCCTTGTTTTTTTTTTTTTTTTTACCCAAAATATCTGCTCACTAATCACCCTTCTTGGCCAGGCATGGAGGCTCATGCCTGTAATCCCTGCAGTTTAGGGGACCGAGGCGGGAGGATCGCCTGAGGTCAGGAGACTGACACCAGCCTGACCAACATGGCGAAACCCTGTCTCTACTAAAAATACAAAAATTAGCCAGGCATGGTGGCGGGTGCCTGTAATCCCAGCTACTGGGGAGGCTGAAGCGGGAGAATCACTTGAACCCAGGAGGCGGAGGTTTCAGTGAGCCGAGTGGTGCCACTGCACTCCAGCCTGGTGACAGAGAGAGACTCTGTCTTAATAATAATAATAATAATAATAATAATCACCCTTTTCATTTCCTCTTTGGCCTCTTTTCACCTTCACCATTTGTTATTACGAGCCACTTAAGTCTCCCTTATCCCTGGGCCTTATTTGGCTCTATGTGAAACTTACTGAGGCACTTTCTGCACTTGATGTTGTGAACATCCATAAATCTCCCTAAATCATGTCAAGAATGATGCCTAACCAGAACATGGTAGAACATGGATTGCTGTTCTTCTGGTGGTAAAGCCTGCAGAATTCCACACTTAATCATTTTGCCTGACTTGTCTTGTCTCCTCTGTTTTCATTTTTCAATAATATTGAATGTTTAGCTTCAATTTTCTGCCTCTGTCTCTTCAAGCTCTTTCCTGATGCTTTTGTTCGTAATATAAAAATAAAACTAATTTGTTAAATTATAACAATAATATGTCCTCATGATTAAAAAAATTGAACAATACAGAAATGTAATGAAAAGAAAAAAATTTCCCTTTAACCTCTTTCTGGCACCTGGTCTGACTTCCCATAGGTAATTAACTCCTGCTAACTGATCAAGGTTTATATTTTATGAAGTTTTTAACATATATGCATATATTTGTTAATTTTAAAAAAAAATTCTAGATACCTTTCTTCCTATAGATAGAATTGCATATTGTGCTTGTTTCTTGATTGAACCTTTTCTTTATTCCTTATATGACATCTTCTTAGCAGACGCTCTTTCATTTCACGGTTACTTATAGAGCACCTACTGTGTGCCAGCTATAGGAAATATCAAAGTACACAAAACGGAAATGGTTCCTGCTTTCATGGACCTCATAGCTCTTCATCTTGTTATAAATCTAGCATTAATCCTGTACCTTTATTTTGCTTAACCTTCTAACTTTGATTTACTATTATAAGAATTATGCTTAGAATACTTCACAAAAGTTGTGTATTTTTCTGTCACAACAGATGTGATGTTGACCATTCTTCTGCAAACAATTTACAATCAAATTGGGATTTTCATATATGTACCTTTTTGTTGTATATTTGTGGGCTGTGACCATCTTTACTTTTGGTTTCAATATTCATAAGATTATCGGCACAGTGATGCGCTTGTTTTTTATTTTGAGAAATAAAAAATAAATATACATATATATGTCAGTGTATAGTCAACAGCATTTTGGTATACTTAATTGAGCATCTCTGTTTCTATCAATACTGATGTTTTGATAAAAATGATAATGAACAATAAAAAATTATATTTGAGGTATACAGAGTTGAGCTTTTACAAATGCGGATAGACATTCTCCTCTGTGGTGCTAACTCCCCCTTTATTTGTAAATGAACCACTTCATAGTATTCTTCTCTGTCAAATACTGGCCAAATCCTTTTTCACTTCTGCAAATATCAACCTTTTATATCTTCATTACTGTTTCTTCCTTGTCTTTGGTTACACCGGACTGTCTCTGTCCACCAGCACATTTGTTAGCATCTTTTTCTTGATGTATGGAATGATCCAGCTGTCTCTTGATGAAACGATGTAACAGCTGTCAATAATTTTTTATACAAAAGCAAGTTCTATCCGTTTTAGTTCTGTATATGCATTTGCTAAGAAATAGTGATTCATAGTTACTCCGAAGTGTATATGGGTGTGGATGTGTGTATAATTTTTTTAATTAAAATACAAGTTTTGGGGGCTGGGCATGGTGGCTCACACCTGTAACCCCAGCACTTTGGGAGGCTGAGGCGGGTGGATCACAAGGTCAGAAGTTCGAGATCAGCCTGGCCAATATGGTGAAACCCCGTCCCTACTGAAAGTACAAAAATTAGCTGGGCATGGTGGCAGGCGCCTATAGTCCCAGCTACTTGTAGGAGGCTGAGGCAGAAGAATTGCTTGAACCCAAGAGGCCAAGGTTGCAGTGAGCTGAGATCACACCACTGCACTCCAGCCTGGGCAACAGAGCTAGGATATTATTTTAGGATAATATTATTATCCTAATAATAGTAATAATAATAATTTTTATGAGAGGAAACAATTAGTATATTTAGTTTTATAAACTATTCTAGAAACCATAATTCATCCCCTTTTTCCTGTCATTGACTTATTCTTGTAGGTCAAAGAGCCCATCTCTCTAACTTCAGGTGACCTCAGCTATTGCCCAGGTACAATTTCTCTTTTCTGAATTCACATCTCTTTTAACCCAGCCCTTTCTATTTCAAGTTCCTTTCTAATCACAGTCCCCATTTTATTGATTCATTATACTTTGCCCTTGGGGAATCTTCTTGGATAGTAAACAAAAAGTCTTGAATTATATTCACATTTTCTGGAATACATTATCTGTGTCCTCAAACTAATAGAATCTTAGTTTTTTCCTGAGAATACCAAAATCTTCGTACTTCTCCAAGGAAGGTCACTTTCCTATTCCCCTCACTCCTAGCACTAGAAGCAGTGTTCATGGATATTATCAAACATTCTTGACCTGCCCTTTTGAAAGTCACTGTCTAAACCAAGTCTTAAAACTGTGATGTCCCATCTACTTCCAGAGTACTCATTCTTCTACATCAATGCTTTCAGCCCCAGGCTGAAATGGATTATTTACTCTACTCCAATCCCTGCCATCCTGCAGCACCTCTAAGATTAAAAACAAAGTGAAACAGAATGAAATCTACAGCATTTCTCCAGTTTGATGACCACCATTTTCAGTTGCATATTCCAAATAAAGTCTTCATTGTCCTCACCAGACCCTCCACTCTCCATTTCTCTGGTCCTTTCCTAGCTGCACTTAGCCACCTTATCTACTCTGGGTAGTCTGACTCTGTTTCTTACAAGCTTTCACATGTACTGGCATGTTTCATTATTTGATGTCGCATACTAGTAAGTGAGCATACTGAATTGAGATTCGGGAGAGGCAGATCTAGACCGAGGTCCTTAAGAGAAGATTGATGCAACTGATGCATCTTCAAATTGCTTTCTTGAGCAGTATACTCTTGTCCTGTCATTTGGCTTGTTCGCAGCAGTGGCTGCATTTGAGCTTCCTCCTGGCCTCACCATCCCATCCTGCCACGCTGAGCTGCCACATTTTACTAGAACAACCTGCCACGCTCAACATGGGAACATGTGTCTCTACTGCCCTCTCGTGTCCACCAGAAGAAGTGACGCATGATGGGCAGGTCGATGCCTTTGGAAGGAGTTTTGGAATGATGACAACTGTGACTGGCATGCCAATGCCTCTTTTCCATTTTTTTAAACGTTTTACTGATATCTTATATTTTTAACAATGTCAGATTTTCTGTTTTTCAAGGGCCGTTCCTAGATCTTCTGCCTCAATCTCAAGTCATTATGTTCACCTACCTGTTTGCTGATATCAAAGCCATATGGTAGAAGCACTCATTTCTCTTGGGCTGTCTGTGTCTTCCCTCTTCACTCCTACCTTTGAAGAAGAAAGGCACCTCCTCTGAGCTAAAAAGGAACCCAGATTACAGAGTAGAAAGAGCAGATGGAGAAATAATCAGAAAGAGCAGAAATGTAGATAGAAAAGGTAGAAAAAGCAGAAATGGAGGCAAGTGTGGACTCTTCTCCAGAAATGTTTAGTCCAAAGGAAGAAAAAAGTCTGACAGTAGAAGAAGATAAAACAATTGAAGGAAAGTTTTCCACAGTAGGGAAAACTTGAGTTTATTTATATGCTGATGGAAAACCTCCAGTGGAGAGGAACTGATTAATAGAATGTGTCTCAGAGCAAACAGCAGAAGGTACTTCATCCTATATTCTTCCGATTTATTTCCTCGTCTCACCTTTACTCTTTACATATCCCAACGTGTCAAGCATCACACATTGGAAATAAATATAGTCAATAAATATTTACTCAGTTGAATCATACTGAGAACATTGGATTGGTCCAGTTTTGAAGCCCAAGTCACAACTAGGGTTCTCTTGCATGGTTCCTGCTTTTGTCTAAATGACACTCCCCACTACCACCATCTCCTACTTTGTAAGAAAAGTGATCCAGAAGAGAGTAGCTCCATTACCATCATTGTTTATATCGATCTTACGGAACACCAAGTTGGTGAATTCTTCAGGACTCAGGGTTTGCTGGCCATTGAGGGCTTGTACCGCCTGCAAAAAGACATTAAATCAAAGAGGTCAACTTTTCTGGAAGCAAATACATTTTGCAACATTTCTGCTCCAATGTGACAGAATTTGGGGATGTGTTAATGTCAGTTGCTATCCAACCTGTACCAGTTGTTAAAAGTAAATAAAAAGAAAAGATTGTATGTCAGTTCTGTGTAATGAGACTTGGAAATTAAATGAACTAAATAAAGACTGAAATCCTATTTTATACAGTATAAAGGGATCCATTCAACATATTAGATCACAACAGATGCAATGAGCCCATTGGAGAAAATATTGTAGTGGTCATGGTCATAAGAATTCCAGACCCAGAAAACAGACATCGCTCTCAATTTCAGACAGGTTCATTTGGGTCTTATGGATGAAAGTAAAAGGATGACCACAACGCTGTAAGAGTCTCAAGCTTCCTCTCTGGCTTCCACCGCTGGCACCCGTGGTTCTTTGTGCCTTTTTGTAGAATGATTGACTGGGGAGACAGATATATACGGCTTCGAAGGGCGCTGAATTTCTCCCACATTCTGCCAGAGACCAGGGGGCAAATGACATTTCCAGCCTTGCTAGAGGAAAGACATAGCTAACCTCCCCTAACCCCAAGGTGATTAAATTAAATGACCCAGACTTGATATAGAACTTCATAATAAAATGAAAGATGATTATTCATTTGGGAATTTGAACATAACTCTCTTGATTGAACATGAAGGAATCTTTAGAAAAACTTCTAGCAATGTATTTCAATTAGAGGACACAATCATAAATATGGCTCTCTCTCTCTTGCTGCTTCCCAAGCATTACCAACGTTAAGTCCAGGATTAATCATAATAAATGGTAGTAAAACACCAGTCTTGGCTTTAGCAAGTTTAGGTCTCATGGATGTCATGGTTAAATATAGGACAATATTTAAAGTAATTGCTATATACATATAGCATCACATTTGAAGAAAATTTTAAGGATTTCTCAGTATTTGGTCAGAGGCTTCAAAAGCCTAGAAAATTTGGCCAGGTATCAAGTATCCCCACGTTCTGAAGTGATATTAGACCACATAAAGAGTCATAGCAAAAAATTGTGAGATCTTAGTTTGTTCATCACCAATCTTCAGGTCATATAAGTGCAAGTGAAATATGGAAAGTGGAGGAGCACTGAGGGGATATTTTTGGAGGGAATCGTCAGCTTGCTCTGTTTTCCTTCCTTTTTTATTAGAAGCAGCAGGATCAGGGGATAGGAAAGAAGCTTTTTTTTCTTCTTCTTTCCTTCCTCATTTACTACATTCATTCTTCCTTCCCCAGTTTCCTAACGGCAGTATCTGAGCACTCCCTGTGTGGGAGCAGGAGGACGCAGGAGAGAAAGGGAAGCAGGAGAGTTCTCACGTGGCAAGTACTGTCCTGGTTAGCTCATTTCAGTGCTCCCTGGCCTGGCAGGTGTAGACGCTCTCTCCTGCAATTCTGTAGGCATGAATCATGCATCTTGATTCCAGCTGGTCCCTTTCCTGCTTAGAATTTCTTAAAATCTGCGGCCGGGTGCGGTGGCTCATGCCTGTAATCCCAATACTTTGGGAGGCTGAGGTGGGCGGATCACGAGGTCAGGAGTTCATAGACCAGCCTGGCCAATATGGTGAAACCCCATCTCTACTAAAAATACAAAAATTAGCCAGGCATGGTGGCGGGTGCCTGTAATCCCAGCTACTCAGGAGACTGAGGCAGGAGAATTGCTTGAACGGAGGTTGCAGTGAGCCGAGATCATGCCATTGCACTCCAGCCTGGGTAACAGAGAGAGACTCTGTCTCAAGAAAAAAAAAAAAAAGAAAAAAAAAGAGTTTCTTAAAATCTGCACAATTGCCATTTTTAGACTAGGCAATTCTTTCTTGTTCAGGCCTGTCCTGCGCATTGTTGAATACTTAGCAGCCTCCTTGGTCTCTAAGCAATAGATGGCAACAGCACTACGCATTCTCTATTCTCCAACTCACCAAAATGTCTCCAGACAATGTGCAATGTCCCCTGAATAGAGATTCTCCTGGTTGAGAACAAGTGCTCTAGGTCTACCTGCATGGTTTGAGTTTTCTTCACATCTTCCAGTGGCCCTGCAGGATAAGATCTAACACAGATCTATGCCAGCTTCCTCTCACAGTGTTCCATACCTGATCTATAGAAAACACCCTAGCATACTTTGTCCCAACAAATTCTATGCAGGCAGATACTTCCAAAGTGTGCACTCTTGCTGCCGCTGTTTGCTTCTTTAGGCTTCTCACTCATGACTCAAACACTCACTGTTGTGATCCTCAAATTGCAGGATATAACCACAGTTCAGTGGTTTACTAACATACTCGTGTTATTGACCTGGGGGGGTCCTACTAAATAAATTTTCCTCAAAAATCCTTAAAAACCTTTCTCTGGACTGTTTTATACCCTTGAAGTGAGATTAAGCTGTAGCTATCTCCTTTGTAGATACTGCCTATGCTCTGGTACTTCCTTGCAATCTCTTAATGCCTGGGCTGAATTCCATTTTAGCGTCTGTATTATATGTAGAGAGAACTTAGATTGTACACTTTTTATTTACCTTGCTGACTTTTTTCTCTTGTCTGTTGTATAGAAAGTATGTTCCTAGGCTACCACTTTCTTAATAAGTATATATTCCATTGCATTAATTTATTTAAACATTTTCCTCTTTTAGTTTTTTAGAATTTTTTGCTATCTTAAGAGATTCTGTGATGTAAATCATAGAACTTTCATCTCTAATAATTGTTTTTCCTAACTCAAAATAAGTAATGCTAACTCTAAAATGAAGATCAGCTTTCAGCCTCTCGACGCAGGCTACCACATTTCCCGGAACGTTTTATCCACTTACACTCTCTCCACAGTGTGTAAGACGCCTTCCTTACCACGCTCTTACCAGAATTTGCATTATTGTTTTTAGTACTGATTAATATAGAGACAAATGGTATCTAATTATTAAATTTCTGTTCTGTGCTTTTATTTTTTCAATTTTCCTATGTTCTTTTTTTTTCCTTTCTAAGCACTTTGAGGGAAAATTCAATTTGCGACTTACTACTTCTCTTTCCTTGGCTCACTAACTGAAGTTATACATTTTAACTAATAAAAATCTACAGCACATTTCCCCATAAGTTATAGACAAAATTATGTTTATCCTTGTTATTCCTAATTCTTTTCAGAATCTGATGACTCTCTCCTTCACCCAAAAAAAGCATAACATACAGGCAAAATTTTTTGTCCTTAAGTTTAAAGGCTAAAATGACTCCTGAAGGCCATTGATTCTTAGATCCCAGACTAAAAACCCTCGTTTCGAGAAATGCTTTGGTGGCATCCTAAGATCTATATGCTGTATTTACATTTTCATTGTTTTTAGAAGAAGCCCAGTATTTAAAAGAACATTTTAAAATTTACATGGAGTTGGGTATTCTCTGTAGAATATTTGGTATCTAATTTTGTGTTGCAATATATAAGGTATAGGCAGAATTTCTAAATTGTTCGCTTGCCAAGTGAATCCTAGCACATTTTTTGTGTGAATGATCTATGTGAAATTAAAATATTAGCAATATTGGTATTATCCTACCCTTGAACTCTTTCCATATGTTGGTTAACTCTACATTTGCTTATTTAGCTTTCCATTTTTATCTGCTTTGAACATTTGTTGAGAAGTTTAATTATAAATGTAGTTCTACTCACTTATTTTTCTGGCATTTTTGCTAATATTTCTACTATGTATTTTATTTGTAACTCAGCTCCTTCATCTATGAAACAAAGAATTTGGACCAGATCATTTCTAAGACATCTAATTCTAATGCTCTTTGAGTCTGTGTTACAAATTCAATGTCTTAGATTCATAATATTAATTTTACCTCTTATCTTCATTTAGGTATAGTGTCCCACTTAACCAGTTTTTACTCTGGGCACTTTACTGTTTCATAGCATGATAATAACTATCTCCTACTCCATTGGGGTGATGGTATAGGGGCTTAGAAAGGCACTTATTGAACTTTAGATGTGGAAAAGATCTGAGATCCCTGAACCAACTATTAGAAATACTTCAGTATAGCTCCCAGAAAGATCAGTCCTCACATACCTTCATTCTTAGTCCATGTCTCTTGTTAAACATATATAAACCATCTCATAGTTTAGCTATTCCTCACCAGGCATTCTGCACTGAGGCAGAGAAAAAGATAAGTTGTTTTACACTATCATATTTGTTTCATTTTTTCATTGCAATGCTCTGTTAATTTTGTGAATGCCAGGGTGGATTGCACCAAGAAGGAAAAGCTGATTTGCTGCTGTTGCCCATTCAGTAATCAATAGGTTAAGTAAAGCTTACATTACTTCAGCAATTCAAAATGTATATCCCAAAAACAGCCAACCCCATAGACGGCTGTTACCTACTCCATAGGAAGGGAAAGTGGGTTAACTGTATAGTGGCCTGAAAAGGATACTTTACTGCTTCACTTACCACGAACATGTCCAGTAGTTCATTTTTGTCAATAGAACCATTTCCATCAACATCATACAGCTTAAAATACCATTTTAATTTTTGCTCCATTTTTTCTTGCACGATTAGATTTACAGCAGCAATAAACTCCAAAAAGTCAATAAATCCATCCTATGGAAATTAAGGTGAAAAGAAAAATAAATATTTAAGAAGAATAATTGTTTTTTATTTGAGAAGTCAGCATTCATGAACAGGGCCTTTAGTATAACTTAAATCAATCCAAAAGATTTCAGCATAAAACTTTTCCCTAGTGTTTCATTTAAAAAAAGTTTACAGACACAAGTGACTTTAATTTTACAATTAAGTGCCTTAAGTAAATAGGCATTATTTTTTAGTGTAGTTTTAGGCTCACAGCAAAATTGAATGGAAGGTACAGAGGTTTCCTATATACTCCCTGTCCCCACACATGCCTAGTCTCCTCCGTCGTCAGTGTCTCCCATCAGAATGGTACATTTGTTATAATTGCTGAACCTACACTGACACATCATCATCACCCAAAGTCCATAGTTTACATTAGTGTCCAATCTTTGTACTTTACATTCTGCAAGTCTAGATATATAATGCCATGTACCCACCATTATAGTATTGCATAGAGTAGTTTTGCTATCCTAAAATTCCTCTGCGTTGTGCCTATTTAGTCTTCCCTAACTCCTGACAACCATTAATCTTTTTACAGTCTCCATAGCTTTACCTTTCTAGAAAGTTATATGGTTAAAATTATATAGTGTGTAGTATATGGTACGTAGTTTTTTCAGATTGGCTTCCGTCACTTAGTAATATGCATTTAAATTTCCTCCTTGTCTTTCCAGGGTTTGATAGCTCATTTCTTTTCAGCACTAAATAATACTCCATTGTCTGGATGTACTTCAGTTTATTTATCCATTCACTTCCTGCAGGACATTTTGGTTGCTTCCAGATTTTGGCAATTATAAATAAAGTTGCTATAAATATCTATGTGCAGATTTCTTGTGGACTTAAGTTTTTAACCCCTTTGGACAAATACCAGGGGATTTGGATGATATGTAAGAGTATGTTTAGTTTTTAAGAAACTGCCAAACTATCTTTCAAAGTAGTTGAACCATTTTACATTTCTACCAGCACTGAATGAGAGTTCCTGTCGCTCCACATCCTCACTGGCATTTGGTGTTTTTAGTGTTCTGGATTTTGGCCATTCTAATAGGTGTGCAGCGGTATCTCCTTGTTTTAACTTGCAATTCCCTAATAATATATGATGTTGAACATCTTTTTATGTGCTTGTTTACCACCTGTATTTCTTCTTTGGTGAAATATTTGGCCCATTTCTTAATCAGATTGTTTTCCTTTTTTCAATTTTTTAAAAATTTCAATAGGTTTTTGGGAATCGGGGGCATTTGGTTACATGAATACATTTTTTAGTGGTGATTTCTGAGATTTTGGTGCACCCATCACCTGAGCAGTGAACACTGTAGCCAAGGTGTAGTCTTTTATCCCTCGCCACCCTCTACCCTTTCCCCAAAGTCCAATGTATCATTCCTATGCCTTTGCATCCTCATAGCTCAGCTCCCACATATGAGTGAGAACAGACATTGTTTGGTTTTTCCATTTCTGAGTTACTTCACTTAGAATAATAGTCTCTACTTTTATCCAGGTTGCTGTGAATGCCATTATTTCATTCCTTTTTATGTCTCAGTAGTATTCCATGGTGTATACACACACACACACACACACACACACACACACACACACACACACATATGGATAATTGTCTTTATCCACTCATTGATTGATGGGCATTTGGGCTGGTTCCATATTTTTGCATTTGCAAATTGTGCTGCCATACACACGCATGTGCAAGTATCTTTTTCATATAATGACTTCTTTTTCTCTGAATAGATACCTAGTAGTAGGATTGCTGGATCAAACAGTAGGTCTACGTTTAGTTTTAAGGAATCTCCACGCTGTTTCACATAGTAGTTGCTAGTTTACATTCCCACCAGCAGTGTAAAAGTGTTCCCTTTTCTCTGTATCCATACCAACATTTGTTGTTTTTTTGATTATGGCCATTCTTGCAGGAGTGAGGTGACATTGCATTGTGGTTTTGATTTACATTTCCCTGATAATTAGTGATGGTAAGCATTTTTCCATATGTTTGTTGGCCATGTGTATATCTTCTTTTGAGAATTGTCTATTCATGTCCTTAGCCCACTTTTTTATTATTATTATACTTTAAGTTCTGAGATACATGTGCAGAACGTGCAGGTTTGTTACACAGGTATACACATGCCATGGTGGTTTGCTGCACCCATCAATCCGTCACCTACATTAGGTATTTCTCCTAATGCTATTCCTCCCCTAGCTCCCTACCCCCCGACAGGCCTCTCCCTGTGTCCATGTGTTCTCATTGTTCAACTCCCACTTATGAGTGAGAACATGAGGTGTTTGGTTTTCTGTTCCTGTGTTAGTTTGAGGAGAATGATGGTTTCCAGCGTCATCCATGCCCCTGCAAAGGACATGAACTCATTCTTTTTGATTAACCCACTTTTTGATAGGTTTTTTGATAGGTTTGTTTGGTTTTTTTTGCCGCTATTGTGAAAGGGGTTGAGTTCTTAACTTGATTCTCAGCTTGATTGCTGTCGGTGTATAGAAGAGCTACTGGTTTGTATACATTAATTTTGTATCCTTAACTTTTGCTGAATTCATTTGTCAGTTCTAGGAGCTTTTTGGAGGAATCTTTAGAGTTTTCTAGGTATATGATCACATCATCAGCAAACAGCAACAATTTGACTTCCTCTTTACTGATTTGGATTCCCTTTTTTTCTTTCTCTTGTCTTATTGCTCTGGGTAGGACTTCCAGTACTAAGTTGAACAGAAGTGGTGAAAGTGGGCATCTTGTCTTGTTCTCAAGGGAAATGCTTTCAACTTTTACCCATTCAGTATGATGTTGGTTGTGGGTTTGTCACAGATTACTTTTCTTACCTTAAGGTATGTCCCTTCTATGCCGATTTTGCTGACGATTTTAATCATAAAGGGATGCTAGATTTTGTCAAATGCTTTTTCTGTGTCTATTGACATGATCATGTGATTTTTGTTTTTAATTCTGTTTATGTGGTGTATTACATTTATTAACTTATGTATATTAAACCATCCCTGCATCCCTAATATAAAACCCACTTGATCTTGGTGGATTATTTTTTTGATATGCTGTTGGATTCGGTTTGCTAGTATTTTATTGAGGGTTTTTGCATCTTTGTTCATCCAGGTTATTGGTCTGTCATTTTCTTTTTTTTGTTATGTCCTTCCTGGTTTTGGTATTAGAGTGATACTGGCTTAATAGAAGGATTGAGGGAGAATTCCCTCTTTCTCTAGCTTTTGGAATAGTGTCAATAGGATTCGTACCAATTCTTTTTTGACTGTCTAATATAATTCCGCTGTGAATCCTGGACTTTTTTGTTGGCAATTTTTTTGTTACTATTTCAATCTTGCTGCTTGTTATTGGTCTGTTCATAGATTCAATTTCTTTCTGATTTAATCTAGGAGATTTGTGTATTTCCAGGAATGTATCCATCTCCTCTAGGTTTTCTGTTTTATGCACATAAAGGTGTTCATAGTAGCCTTGAATGATCTTTTGTATTTCTGTGGTATCGGTTGTAACATCTCCTGTTTCATTTCTAATTGGGCTTATTTGGATATTCTCTCTTCTTTTCTTGGTTAATCTAGTTAATGGCCTGTCAGTTTTATTTATCTTTTCAAAGAACCAGCTTTATGTTTCATTTATCTTTTGTATTTCTTTTTTTTTTTCAATTTCATTTAGTTCTGCTCTGATCTTCATTATTTATTTTCTTCTGCTGGGTTTAGGTTTAGATTATTCATGTTTATGCAGTTCTGTGAGGTGAGACCTTATTTGTGCTCTTTCAGACTTTTGATGTAGGCATTTAATGTTATAAACTTTCCTCTTAGGACCACTTTTGCTGTATCACAGAGGTTTTGATAGGTTGTGTCACTATTATCATTCAGTTCAAGGAATTTTTAAAATTTCCATCTTAATCTCATTGTTGACCCAACGATCATTCTGAAGCAGGTTATTTAATTTCCTTGTATTTGCATGGTTTTGAGGGTTCCTTTTGGAGTTGATTTGCAATTTTCTTCCACTGCAGTCTGAGAGAGTACTTGATATAATTTAAATTTTCTCAAATTTACTGAGACTTGTTTTGTGGCCTAACATATGGTCTATCTTGGTGAATGTTCCATCTGCTGATGAATAGAACGTACATTCTGCAGGTGTTGGGTAGAATGCTCTGTAAATATGTGTTAAGTCCATTTGTTCTAGGGCATAGTTTAAGTCCATTTTTTCTTTATTGACTTTCTGTGTTAATGACCTGTGTAGTGGTATCAGTGGAGTATTAAAGTCCTCCACTATTATTGTATTGTCATCTATTTCATTTCTTAGGTCTAGTAATAATTGTTTATAAATTTGGGAGCTCCAGGCCAGGCATGGTGGCTCATGCCTGTAATCCCAGCACTTTGGGAGGCCGAGGCAGGTGGATGACCTGAGATCAAGAGTTCGAGACCAGACTGACCAATATGGTGAAACCCCGTCTCCACTAAAAATTCAAAAATTAGCCAGACATGGTGGCAGATGCCTGTAATCCCAGCTACATGGGAGGCTGAGGCAGGAGAATCATTTGAACCCAGGAGGCAGATGTTGCAGTGAGCTGAGGTTGTGCCATTGCTCCCCAGCCTAGGTGATAGAGCAAGACTCCATCTGAAAAAAAAAATTGGGGAACTCCAGTGTTAGGTGAATATATATTTAGAATTCTGATATTTTCCTGTTGGACTAGTCCATTTATTACTATATAATGTTCCCCTTTATCTTTTTTAACTGCTGTTACTTTAAAGTTTGTTTTGTCTGATATAAGAACAGCTCCTCCTGCTCGCTTTTGGTGTCCATTTGCATGTAATGTCTTTTTCCACCCCCTTACCTTAAGTTTATGTGAATCCTTATTTGTTAGGTGAGTCTCTTGAAGGCAGCAGATAGTTGGTTGGTTAAGTCCTATTTATTCTGCCATTCTGCATCTTTTAAGTGGAGCTTTAGGCCATTTATTTTCAATGTTAGTATTCAGATGTGAGGTATT